TTGAAAGTGAATAGTTTATATGTGATGTAGACAAAAGAGATAACATTATCAACCACAGTGGGTAGACCAGTGTCACGTAATATTGTCTCTTTTGTTCACATTAGATATAAAATATTTCACTCTTAATTATTTTGAGTTATACTCTAATGGTATTATTTAACCTTTGATGGCCTACATTAACATTCTAGCTGTTTTTTTCTCCCTTCTTCTAAGAGCATCTCCATCGATAGCAGAATGGGAGTACAATGTCAGAAATTTTGAATGGTGTGACTACTGGAGTGAGTTTAATGTTGGCAAGAGTTGAGCCAGTTTTATGTGTGGAAACCCCCCAATAGTTTTTCGTTATTTGTTTAATGAAAAAGTATTGAGAGTTTCTACGCAAAAAAATTGGATTAACTCCTACTAATATTAAACTCATTTCAATAGTTACACTATTCAAAGTTCATGACATTGCACTCCCATTATACTGTCGATGGAGATACTCTTAAAGCAGTGGTTGGCCGTCATTTGACTGTAAGTGTCGGATAATAGAAGTATCCTTCTTATTTGTGTCTCCCATATGCAATAGGAAAAATAATAATTATAGTAAGTGGCCTAATTTTTAATAGTAATTACTAGCCACTGTAGTTAATCTAACATCAGTGTGGTTGCTCTAATAGGTTTTCCTTTACTCATGTCTTGTTAAGTGAAATATTCAAAACATTGATTGTAACGTTTCTTTGTCTTCCAAACTTGGTGTATCGGATTCTTGGTATCAACTTATCTTTGTTTACCAAAATAATTAAAAGTAGTTGCTCTAACTTGTTTTTCTCTTGCACACCCGAAGAAAAATCAGATTTTGTTACTCACATGTTCTGTGTGCCACATTATTGGTGCTCGCATTTCTTTGATGTGTAGAATGATGACACATTGGAATTAATGATTTAAATTATTCGACGGATAATACATGTGAGTATCTATCTTAATTCGATAGTTTCTTCAAGTGCAAAGGACATATACGTTAGAATCAATGTATTTAAGTAACCAAAGACACAGAAGTACTAAAAATCCAATGGTTTCTATTGTGCGAAAATTATGTAAAAATAAGTTTTAGAATATTTTTTAAAAGATAAATTAAAATATTATTTGGATAGTGTATTGAGTTTTGTGTTTAAGAGCTAAAAATGTTGGGTTCCACTTTCTGACATCATTGGTGTAAAAATGTATATACGGCAAATGTAGCTAGTAATTTTCAGCATGATTTTATATCTAATGTAAATGTCCATGTAATAAGTTGCGATTAAAACTTGACATTCTCATTAAAACAGACGAAATGAACAAATGCTCTGAACTATTTCGATGGATAGAAGCATGTGAATATTGGGTAATCGTTGTTTTCTCCAAGTCTAGAAAACAAACAGGTTACCAATGTTTTGAATTATTTTGCTGGGAAAAAGGAAAAAAAAAAAAAGAAGGTTAAGCAGGAGACACAATGGTTTCCCTTAGCGTAGAACGTTAGAAGAGAAAGGTATGTTGGAGCAATAGTAGTGGCAGTAGTTTGCATGGAGTTTTGGGCTAGTCACTATTGATATATTTATATTTTACCTATTTATTACTAGTGGTGTCTGGTCGCGCAGTATATCTGTAGATCTTAGAAATATTTATATTTGAAAAAAAAATATTTTGCATTTGGCCCGATATATCTTAGAAATGTTTGAAGAATTTAGAAATCTTTTATAAGTGTGATCATAGAAATGTTTGTATTTGACAAGAAAAAGAAAGTGTATTTGGCTCGGTACGTTTTAGAAATGTTTGAATGTTTTAGAAATGTTTTATAAGTGTTACTTATTAAATATAAATAAACTTGATCAAGTATATCTCTTGAAGTAAATGTTAGACAAAATATAAAAGCATCCTAAGAAGTTTAAATATTAGTAAGATGATTTATTGATGTTCTCCATTTGTCGTGCCAAATCAATACTTGGTTTTGGAGATTTATAATAGCTTTGTAGTAAGCTTCCTCCGAAGGGTATACGTTTAATTGTTGGAACTGTTTCTTCCAAAGGCTTATAGCTAGTAAAATATCAAAAATATGATTTTAAAACTGATTAATTGTTGAAACTGGTTGATCACAAATATGAGAATGAAAATTAATGTAAATTTGCATAGGTTTCAAGTTATAGCAAAAAAGAACTCACCTCACCATGGCAAATAAAAAAATAATAAGTAAAAGAGTCTATTAAAAATTGAGAAATTTTTTTTTCCTATAGGTAAAAAATGATGTATAAACACAAATAAACGTAGAAACATCATTCCTTCCCTCTCCACCTCAAATTCATAAAAGGCTTCCCCGTAAATTAGTTAGAAGAAGCGACCTGAACCATTTATATGATGAGTAATTTAAAAAAGTCCAAAAACCAAATCCAAAAAAGTATATTCTTGAAAGTCCGAACACAAAAAAAAAACGCGCTTCATCTGCAATAATAATAATAATAATAATAATAATAATAATAATAATAATAATAATAATAATTAGTCAACTGAGAGTATGAAACAAAAACAAAAGCAATTAAACAAAGAAAAAACACAATTCATAACTGACCATATACGAAAAAAAACTGAGACTCCATAATTAAAAAAAGGAAAATCACTCTAAATGAATAAAACATAAAAAAGAAATTAAAAAAACCACACTTTGTGACAAAAACCCAATTGATCAATTCAATTCAAACAGAAGTAAAATCATACAAAAATTCTAAACTGACTAACCATATAAGAAATCACATCATATTACCTGGCAACGGCTACGGTAGCTGTAACGGGTGGACACATAAAAATAATAGTAATAACACTATTCTTGAACGGGAAAAACAAAAAATAATAAAAACCGTACAAATGATCTGTGGATATAAAATTATTTAAATTTTAATATCTGTAACGGCACCACCACAACGGCCGAAAGCAACATCAATGAGAATTTTTTTTTCCCTTTGTGTTTATATAAAGAGGTAAAGAGATTATTTTTTGAAGTCGAAATTTTATCTGATTAGGATGTAGTTGATCATCATTAATGAAAAGATTGAACATGCTAATAGGAAAGAAGGATATTTCACCACGTATTCTCAATTGATGATTGATGAGAATTTTTTTTTTTTTTTTTGTGGAGAAAGGATTGATTAGGGAGTCGATTGTCGTGGAGATGGAGATGAAGATTTGTGTTTTTTATGAAGTCGTTTTTTTTTTGTTTTGGCGAAAATAGGAGGTGGTGGTTGATTTGGACTGCATTTGCCTTTTAAGTCTAGAAAACTGATCTGTAAATAAAAATTTATTTTAAAAATATGATGTGGAAATACCACATGGCAAATGGTGGTGCTTTGTCTTAAGTGTAGTTTTTGTTTCTAATATAGTAAGATATCCCTAATTTGTGATTTTTACAATATATTTTGAGTACAAATATGCTGTTTATATGATTTTATCTTTATTTGTAGGAATTGTACTCAAAAGGAGGAATTGTTGAAATTGTGGGCTAAAATAAAGATAAAGGTAACTTAAAGGGGAGAATTAAAGATTTGATAAATTGACAAGGAAGAAATTAAAGTACTTGAAAAATTAGAGGATTAAACAAGAAATTTTAGAATTTTTGTTTTTGGAAATTGGCTAAACAACGATGATGGTGCGGTTGATTAGGGATTGGAATTGGGTAAGAATTTTAATCCCAATATTATTTGGGAAACAAGTTTTCTTCCTCTCCAAGAAGTAGAGTTTTGACGGAAGTCTATAAAAGGAGGATTAGGGATTTATTTTTAGAACCGAACTGGACCGAAAAAACCCTACGTCCTCCCACCGACCTCCACCTTCTTGCCGCTGCAATTCAACTCCGCCGAAAGCCATCCCATCACCTCCTCCCACGCAGTCCTTCCACAACCTCACGCAGCACCATCTCATCCCATCATATTCACCTTAATCATCATTCCCCATCACCTCTGCTTCCACCTTCCTGCCCACGCACCACCGATGCATCAACACAACCTCACCCTTTCATCATCCATCCTAATCACCTACGCACCATCATCATCGTAGGAGGAAGCATTGCATCAAGCTCGACTCAACTTTTGGCCAACTTCTCTCGGGTTTCATTATTTTATTTATTTTTAAGATGATGTGTAGCTAAATTATTTAATTTAGGGTTTTGGATGTGGCCGCTGTACTATTTAATTTAATTTAATTCATGATTGTGACTTTTTCATTAGTTGATATTTAATATTCTTGTTTTTATTCCATGTGAGTATTTGATCACCACTTGCATGCTTTAAAGGTGTTTAACTGAACGAACGATGGTTGAAGGTTAGCACTAGTTCGTGGGAATATTAAACTTAGATAGTGAGCTACAAAAGTAGGAACACCGTCTTTGCAGCTATAGATTCTAGGGTTCTTAATGTACTCTAATTAAATCCTATAGTCACGACAGTAGTCATAGGGTTAGTTTGAGTAAGAGAATTATATCACGACAGTGAATAGTTCTTAAATAGGTGAATTGTTGTGAGATTAATGAAAGTCCAAAGTCACATATCTATAGGTTGAGTTAAACTGAGTAGTCGGTAGGTGATCCCTTTGCCCTAGGTTTTCTTTTATTTATGTAAAATCTTAAATTAATTGTAATTGATAGTTTTAGGTTTAGATTAGTTTAAATTGATAAATTGTTAATCTAAATAATAATAAGAAATAATTTTAACCGGTACTTGGTAACCTTCTCTGTGGGATCGACCCTGCTTTCTGCTTTACTGCTAGTAATTGTATTAAGTAGGTAATTAATTATTTGACTAGTGTGACGATGGCTTGTCAAATTTGGCGTCGTTGCCGGGGAAGGCATAACCAATATCAAAACTAGGTTATTTTTTTTATTAATTTAGATTTGTATATAGTTTCTTTTGTTATATTAATTTATTATTTTTATTTTTATTTTTATTTTTATTCTCTTTTCATTCTTGTGTCAATATTTTTTGTAGGATTTTTGAACTATTATGGAGAATTTTAATTATCGATATGGAAATCCTCCGTATTATGGTTATAATTCTGAATATGGAGACTATCCTACATATCAAGAAGATCCGTACTCTTGAAATGATTACTCTTATGATCCTTGCTATGGGTGTGATTATCAAGGGTATTCATGTGATGCAGGATACAATTCTTGTTTTGAAAGTCCCCATATGAGTCCTAAGATTTTGTCATGTTTGGAGAGAATTGATAAATTGTTGGATGACATCGAGAAGAAAAATGCTTCATATTTCTCTCAAGAGGAATGTTACCACTCAAATGCATCAGTATATAAACCACCACCTCCTCAACCCACTCTAAGAGAGTTAGCAGCTCGTTAACCCACTCTAAGAGAGTTAGCAGCTCGTCAACCTACTCTGGGAGAGCTAGCCGCTTTACAGTCATCACCTTATCAACCCACTTTGAGACAGTTAGGATCTTCATATCAGCAGCCACCAGCTCAACCTCAACTTACTGTTAAAGAGGCAGCTCTTCGAGATTTTCAAAGTGAAAAAGGCCAACAACTTATCGAAGAGGTCAATCAATATAGGTTGAGTGTGGGGTTGCCGGAATATGATCCTATAGGAAATTTGCTTAAATTGAATAAGAATGAGAAGATTTCTGAAGATGATTCATTGGTCCAGTCTCCTCAACCACCATCTCAAACTGACCTTGAATGTGAAGAATTAGAAGAGACCAAAGAGATTAACAGTCTAGATGTTACAAGTTCTCTTGATTCTTCTGGTATATACATAGTAGTTAAGCATGATTCGCTCATTCTGAGAGTTGGTGACAAAAATGTAGATCAAGTTGATTTTGATGAGAATAACATTCCTATAGTTTCAAAAGAAGGGTTTCAAGTAGACAAATGTGGCGAGGTTGTCCATAGTATAAGAGATAGTGAGGATGATGTGAATGTTGGTTCAATGAAAGACCAAGAAGAGAATCAATGGTACAAGATTGAATTTGAGAAAGAGGATGTTGTAGTGTTGGAGTATAAGTTTATATTTTCTAATGGAAAGGAGAACCACTACAAGAGATTCATTGTTGCTGCTGAACATGGTTTCTTCTGGTATCGAGATGGGTACTCTGACAGATCAGTCTGGAGTCCGGCTAAAGACTTTAAAACAGCGCTTATTGGGAGGCAACACAAGTTTTATTTTGCTTTATTTTACTTTTTTTTGCAAATAAATTGATGGTTAAGTTTTTTTTTTAGATTAAATAGTACGGCGGCTATATCCAAAACCCTAGATTAAATAATTTAGCTACACATCATCTCAAAAATAAATAAAACAATGAAACCCAGGAGAAGTAGGCCAAAAGTTGAGTCGAGCTTGATGCAATGCTTCCTCCTCCGATGATGATGGTGCGTAGGTGATTAGGATGGATGATGAATGTGTGAGGTTGTGTTGATGCGTTGGTGGTGTGTGGGCAGGAAGGTGGAAGCAGAGGTGATGGGGAATGATGATTAAGGTGAATATGATGGGATGAGATGGTGCTGCGTGAGGTTGGGGAAGGGCTGCATGGGAGGAGGTGATGGGATGGCTTTCGGCGGAGTTGAATTGCAGCGGCAAGAAGGTGGAGGTTGGCGGGAGGACGTAGGATTTTTTTTGGTCCAGTTCGGTTCTAAAAATAAATCCCTAATCCTCCTTTTATAGGCTTCCGTCAAAACCCTACTTCTTAGAGAGGAAGAAAACTTATTTCCCAAATAATATTGGGATTAAAATTCTTACCCAATTCCAATCTCAAATCAACCGCACCATCATCGTTGTTTAGCCAATTTCCAAAAACAAAAATTCTAAAATTGCTTATTTAATCCTCTAATTTTTCAAATACTTTAATTTCTTCCTTGTTAATTTATCAAATCTTCAATTCTTTCCTTTAAGTTGCTTTTATCTTCATTTTAGCCCACAATTTCAACAATTCCTCCTTTTGAGTACAATTCCTACAAATAAAGATAAAATCATATAAATAGCATATTTGTACTCAAAATATATTGCAAAAATCACAAATTAGGGATATAATAAATAGGTAAAATATAAGCATATCAAATACCCCCAAACTTGAATTATTGCTTGTCCTCAAGTAATCCCAAAGATTAAACAAACAAAAATATTTAATTATTTAATTTGGCGGCCCCTGAGATTCAATCATCATATAACACATAGATCTCGACTACCTCTAGTATGGACTACCTAACAATGCAAACCATATGCACTTTTAGCCCCCACGCTTGTGTGTGTCTGCGATTCGTTTCTTAGGAACATCACTTTACATTCAACATAGAAAACAAAAGCTCTACTGCAAATACACCATATTTTAACAGTTTAACACAGATTCACATTTCATACCATATTTCAATGCAATGGACCGCCAAACATATGAAGTAGAAGGACTTATCTCACTGACAACCTATTCCCCCTCGTAACCCATTCTTCGGTCCATGCAGCTTTTCTTCAGGACTCTTTCCGACTCAGGCCACTACCCAGAGCATTTTTCTACTCCTATACATAGTGGCTCAGCAACTTAGGGCAGTCTATATATCTATTTTTCCCCACCGGGCCTGAGGATTCTCCGCTCAGGTTGCCAATTCCTCACCTCTCAATGGGCTAGCATCAACATTGAATGCTCTTCCTTTCTCCCTCATTAAAATTTAACCTAAACTCAGAAGCATCCGCCAACACCCCTCCCCCAAACTTACTTAACACAAAGTGTCAAAGCAATAAGGGTTTTTAAGGCTGATATTGGGTTAATGCCTTGCTTTTCCTTCACAACATGATGGATTCCACATACAAATCATATAAATATGAGTGAATCAAACAAATTTTCATGGCATATCTACATCAAACTCATGCAACTATATCTCACTTTACGCTTATCCCACAGTCACGACTAAGTGCATCAAAAAGGTGGGTATTCAAAGTAACATATTGAAATACATAAGTTAAACAATACAATTCAAAATAGTCTAATTCTTACATGTTATAGATAATTAAACCATCTTCATCATAGGCCTTTTTGGATTTTTTTAATTTTTTCATTTTTTTAATATTTTTTTAAATCACAAAAACAAAAACAAAAAAAAATTAGACAGAAAAACACACAAAATTCTTCTCCCCCACACTTAAAGCATACATTGTCCTCAATGTATAAAACACAAAAGACAAGGCAACCAAGTGAAAAGAAAAGGAAAGAAAAAATAAAAGAAATGAAATGAAACAACACAACCTTGGGAATGTGAAGCGAAAGACTGAAATTGTTGAAGAAGAAAAAGAATAAAAAGAGTTGTTGCACGACCATCCAAGCACCATTTATTCCAGAGTAGCTGCCGACCTAAAAAAACACAAACCTAAATTCTATCAGACGTACGGACGATTAAGAAAAACCACGAAAGTCCAGAAAATCAAAGATTTCCAAGATAATCAGGAACGGAAAAATCTAATTTGAATCGGAGCACAACGTGGGTTGATCAGGTTTTGCTGCTAATCTGGGAAACTGTAATTGCTTGGAAGCCGAATACTGGAGAGTGTTATTTGGCCTCCAGATCAACTGGAATCTCGACTTTAGAAAAGTTATTCTGGAAATGGACTCAATAGAAGCGATAAATTCTCTCAAGTACAGCGAAAAGTCCATACCATCAAGCAATGTTCTTATGCATATTTTAACATTACTAGAAAAGAACTAGAAGGTGAATCTTAGCCTCATTCGTAGAACATCCAATGAGGCAACATATTCACTAGCCAAGTTTGGTTTCTCATGCCCAACGAGGTTACAGGTTTTGCCAATACTCCCGTCTAGTACTGCCGAACAACTAGAAGTAGATAGGAATCTATCACCCCCATCCTAAAGATGTTTTGTACTCAAGTTTTTGGGCAAGCCGTCGTCACAACTAGTCAAATAAATTCACCTACTTAACACTAGTATATCGAAAAATAGGGTCGTACCCAAGAGAATGAATACTAATTACCAGGTATAAATTACTCCTATTATTATCTAGATAAATGATGATCTCATATTTATAAGATTTAAAACTAAAATAAATAAATAAAATAAAAGCAAATAATATTAATTCAAATAATCAGACAAAGAAAACCTAGAATATTGGGTTCACCTACCGAATATTTGGTTTAGTTCAATTCACAAATATCTGACTTCTAACTTCCATTAATCTCACAACGAGTCACTTAATTAAGAATTATACACTCTCGTGTCATAATTCTCTTACTTAGATTAATCCTATGACTACTCTCGTGACTATAGGATTAACAAAAGCACATTAAGAACTTAAGAATCTAATGTTGCAAAGGTTGTGTTCCTACTGTCGTAGCTCACTACCTAAGTCCAATATTCCCATGAACTAATATTAATTTTCAACTGTCGTTCCATCAATTAATATCTTTAAACATGCAAGTAGTGGCCAGTTAGAAACATAGAATAAAAGCAAGAATATTAAATATTAATTAATGGAAAACTCAAATAATAATGAACCAAATAAACCAAATAAATCCAGCGACTATATCCAAGTCTTAGGTTATAGAACTTTAGCCTCTAAATATTATTAAAATTGATGATGCAATAATAATAATATTCATAATCCAAAATTCTGAAAATAAAATTAAAATTGGAATAATGGAACTGAAGGAGAAACGGAGGCTGAAAGTAGTTCCAGCCGTGAAAACAACTCCAAAGTCTCGCTCCGAAGTTGGTTGCCCCTGCTGGTTGCTTCTTTGATTGCGTACAGGTTCTCCTTCTTTTCGATTGGTGGAAGATTAAGTCTGAAGGTGATGATGGGCTGGTGATGAATTGCAGGGGGGTTTGGGGCTGCTGATAATGGGAGGAGCTGCGGGAAAAAAAATGGTGTTGCGGCGGAGAAGGTTTTTGTAGTTCGGTGGTCGAAAACTCTCCAAATAACAACACTAGCCTCTCTTTATATAGTCTTTCTCCAGCCTTATTTCTTGGAGGTTAAGATTACTTGTTCCCTACTTCAAGTTGGATTAAATTTTCTGCCGAAAATCAAGCTCCCTCATCACCGCCACCAGCTGCAATTCCTTTGCGGTTTCGTCTGCGGCAAGAAGCAGCAGCAAAATTTGGAACCATCAAATTCAAAAACATGGGCCTCGGGCTTATTAATTCCAAGATCAAAACTCCAAAAGAAACAAAAGCATGGACCAGCCTGCTTTGTGATACGTGGGCTTTCGAAAGAAAATCATGGCCGAAAGCAATACTCCAGCCCATGCAAATCTCTCTGCTAAACCAAAGCTTCAATTGAAATATTGCATGTTTAGTCCTCTAACAATTTTGGTCCTCTGATTTCTTCCTCATTTATTACTCTCATCTTCAGTTCCGCCCATTTGAGTTGCTTTTATTTCTATTATAGCTCAAAAATTCAACAATTCCTTCATTTGAGTACTATTCCTACAATTAAAGATAAATTCACATAAATAGCATATTTTGTACTCAAATATTGGCAAATATCTCGCATAAAAGGATATTAAAAATAGATAAATTATGAACACATCATTTTTGCTTCCTACGTATATAAAAAAAATGTTAAATAAGAATATGGTAGTGCAGATGGTGATGTGAATAGCATTTGAGGTCGCCTTTTAACCCTTTGGTCTCAAATGTGTTTCACATCACCATTCCCACTCTTTTTACTAATTTGATGCGACAGAATCATAGAAACAAGAGTAAAACAGAGGTCTCAACATGAGCGGATAAAAGAGCTGTTTTGTAATAAATAGAAAGTGTTTACTAGATTGTTTCAGTTTACTAAAATTGTCTCACTTTTACAGAATCACCACTCTTGTTTACTAGTTTTCTTTTTAAAAAAAAAAATATATAAGGGCACCTTAGATTAAAACATGCTTGTTCATTTTGACCAGTTTTGTTTTTTTTTAAAAAAAAAAAACACTTCAGTGGACCCCACTTAAATGTGGGTAAACCCCTCTTACAACTTTTGGTGGAAATCAAACTACGATATATTACCAAGAAAGACAGTAATCTAACCACTAAGCTATCATTTAATTCTCATTCATTTTGAACAATTTTCTTCGAAAAACAAAGTAGATGTACCATCAAAATATGTCCACGTTTCAATTTTCTACAATAAGAGAAAGAAATTTAATGATAATAAGTCCGCAATCTTATACCAGTTTCCACTATTGCTGTTGCTCAACTAATGCTAATGCTTTTAGTAACTTTGGTTAACAAAGGAATGTGAGTACTGCGGATTCAATTTTTTATTCATGTGTAGTAGAAAACAAAAAAAAAAAAAAGACATGTCGGAATTCGGAAATCAATGTGTTGAATTACTTGTTCCATTTGAAAATGTAAGCTATTTTAGTTTTTGTACATAAATTAATGATACCATCGTTTAACAACTAACTTGTATGTAAAAATTCGTTGATACTCCTCATTAAGTTTATTCAAATTGTAAACCAAATTGATAAAAGAAGTTGGTGTCATTTAT